GGGGGGGGGGAGCCGGCCCAGCCGCACGGCTATAAAGCTGCCCCGGCTCCCCGCCGAGCGTTGCAGCAGTCGCCGGCCCCGCTCCTCCCGCACGCTCCAATGGATATCACCATCCACAACCCCCTGATCCGCCGGCCCCTCCTGTCTTTGTTGGCGCCGAGTCGCATCTTCGACCAGACTTTTGGGGAGCATCTGCAGGAGTCGGAGCTGCTCCCTACCTCCCCCGGCCTCAGCACCTTCCTGATGCGATCTCCCATCTTTCGGATGCCCAGCTGGATAGAGACTGGGCTCTCTGAGGTAACCTTCCCTTCTTACTGCTCTGTGCTATTGCTGCCTGCACATCCTGATGTCTCTGGAGCTGGGGACCGTGATGGCTGAGAGCTGGGAAGCTGCTGGCAGGCGGTTATTAGGAAAAGCCTGGGGGAAAAGGTGCTGTGCTTGTGTCTCCGCTTCTCCGCAGCGGGCAAGGGCCTCTGCCTGCTCTGCTAACCGTTCCTGACTGCGAGCAAGCATTGCCATAGCCTTGGGCACAGGCAGGCTGAGCTGAGTCTGTGCTGCAAATGACTGTAAGAGTTGAGGGGAGAAAGGACGAAACCTAAATTCCCTGTCTGCTCTGCGAAACTTTCAAACCCACTCCCTCCTGATGAAGGGAAGGGAGCCCCGGAGTGGTGGGATCCTCGTACGGGAGGCTGGGGTTCGTGGGTAAAAAGGGGCCCGTTTTGGAGTGTCACTGCTGAGCAGAGCAGCATTTTGAGAAATACACAGGACCCAACTGACCACGAAATAGCCCTCCAGCCCTGTCTGTCTCCCACACTCCCTTGTTCTGCCAATGCAGTGAGAGCTGCTTCGCGTTTCTGGACCTGCATGCATGTTCGTAGTGATCCCAGGGGTGAAGACGACTTTTATCCTGGCCAGAGTGCTCCGGGGAGGCTAGAGGAAAACCTAGCGAGGAGTGGCTCTCCCTCGGAGGCCGGAGTGGTGCTGCATCCCCAAGCAGCTGCTGGGATACATCACCACCGGGCACATCTGTGCTGAGCTGAGGAGGTCGCATCTAGGTGTCAGCACAGGCCAGAGATCCTGGGCGGACGTCAGGAGCGAATCCTGCCTGTCTGTAACTCGCAGGGGGAACCAACCTGCACGGCCTTCCTCCTAAAAGGCGGATGGCTGAGCCCTGGCGCTGCCGGCCTGCTGTGGGAGACCCAGCGCACGACGGGGCAGGCATGCCTGCCGCCGGCCGCCTCTCCTCCTGCCCTCACCCTCGGAGCCCCAGCACCTTTTGCAGAGAAGAGCCAGGAAAATCCGATCTCCAAACCACTTTTTCCCCAGACATCGTGTCGCCTCTGAGCGGAAGGCGCGCAGCTCCCAGCTCTCCGGTGGTTCCCGCATTGCTTTGCCCTGCGCTGGCTACACCAGACCCCAGCACCTCACCGACAAGTGTCCGCTGTGGCTGGCAGAGCCTGGGAAGCCCAGGGCTGCCCTCCCTCTGGGCAGAGCTGGTCCCCACTACGGGAACCTCTCCAGCCCTCGCTCGGCTCACAGCAGGTCCCGCGGCCAGGAGCAGCGCAGGAAGAGCAGCCGCTCTCGTAGCAGCGGCGGAGCTGGGGGACTAATACACAACCTGTGCGGCCAGGAGCTCTGCTGCAGTGGCCCTGGGGCAGGGAGACAACGGGCTGCTGTGCATCCCTAGCAGCCCTGGATGCCGTGGGGATGGCGAGATGCTTGTATACGACTGGACTCGCGTGGTCTTATAGGCGCCACGGCCCCACCAGTAGCTCTTCTGGCTCAAAGTGGCAGTGCTGCGGGGGCTGAGCCAAGGGGCATGCAGCTCGAAGGGCCTTGCCTGGTCTGCAAGTCAGCTGTCTATTTACAAGTAACTTGCAGAGCTATTCTAAGCCAAAGGAGCGAGAGGAAAGTATTTCTTAATCTTTCCATAATGTTTCACTTGATTTGGCAAACGGGGACTGGCTTTCCCCAGAAGCAGCCATATCAAGCACCATAGAAAACAGCATCCCACTGCCTCAGTGGAGAAATCTCTGTCACAAATACGTTTGAAGGAGGAGAAGGAAGCAGAAACCAGCAAGCGTAGAGCTGGCAGGGAGGCTACCTCCACGTCCCAGAGCAGAGCTCCGGGAGGCTTGCGTGCTCCCTCACCACGAATGCAATAGGAAGGCAGAGATAGCCAGCTCACATAGCAAAGTCCCAGGAGCTTGTCCAAGCCACGGAGGTGGGTGATGGGAAACAAAGGTGAAGCAACCTCACCAGAGGAACCAGAAAAAGCAGCATTTGCTAGAGGTGATAAAGCATAAAATGAAGGAGAAGGAGGCAAGATTAGCAGCAGGTGACTCAGTTTCATCAGAAATCTTGCTGCTCAGATAAGAGAGGCAGGTAGTGAGGTGGCAGTGTTTGCTGGTGACACATTATTTTGGTTACTAGAGAGTGACAATAGAGGGGAAAGCCTGCAAGTGGCACAGATGAGCCGCAGTCAGCTAGCTGCACGGTCAGGCTTCTTTAAAGACCTTGCAAAATCCAGCTACAGGGACTGGAAATCTGCAGACATTCTGTAAAAAGAACCAGATACAAAACCTGCAGGCCAACTAATGAGTCCCTTTTAGCAAATTCAAGTTGAGAGAGTCTCTTCGCCACCCCCAGGAAAACACTTACGCCGTGTAATCAAGAGAAAGAAAGGCATCACACTTTAGTGATGGGCACTAGTGTAACAGGCTAGAAAGAGACAAACCCAGCTGGGTCAGAACCCCAGGGCTGGATGAGGGAGATCAGACAGTGCTGTTTCTTCTCAGCTTTTTAGGTGAGGGCATGTGGAGGTACCCGCTTAAGTCTTGAACTGTTATATTCTGAGCACCTTTTAAGGCTGAAACCCTCACCTGCTCTTCTCTGAAGTCATCTCCTTATTTTGCAGATGCGACTGGAGAAGGACAAGTTTTCTGTTAACCTTGATGTGAAGCATTTCTCTCCTGAGGAGCTGAAAGTCAAGGTGTTAGGAGACATGATAGATATTCACGGGAAACATGAGGAGCGCCAGGTACTTTTGCTCTTACTATGTGACTGATAGAGTCAGTTCTGAACTTCCTCATCTGTGGTTAAACAAGGAGACTGCAAACCCGTCCTGTTCTGTGCTCATCTGCAAACGCTTCTAGTGGTTTTTATCAACTGATCCTAACGGAAGATGCTCTGTGTAACCCCTCCACTAATCCCAGACTGGGCAGCAGCAGGGTAGAGTTTTATTGCCGGTGATATATGAACTGTGAACCGAACTGGAAAATCAACTTTGAAATGTGCATTTCTGAGCCTCCATCTTGCTGGGAAGAGGCCAGGAATGCAGGGAGGCATTCAATAAGTTAACAATGAACTCTAATAATTAAACCACACAATGAATAGTCCATTACCCTGTTCTATTAGCAGGAGGTTATCTCTTCCTGAAAAAGGCCCATTTACCGGTTTGTAATCTTTAAGGGTTGTGTTCTGCTGCCAGTCATCCTACCGCCTGCTGGCCCTGGAGACCTGTGTGCCAGCTGGGCAGAGAGAAGTCAAAAGCCATGTACAAGGTTGTACAAAACAGGGTTTTCCAGTTCCTCCTCCCCGCCTCAGCAGAAACAAATCCTGGTGGTAAAGCAGCTATGCCGGTGTGACTGTCAGCACTAAGAGCTTCTGGGAGCACAGATTTCTCAGTCAGGAAATACAGCATTGCCTGACATAGCTGCGGGAAGCTTCTAATTCTGATACTGCTTCTGCAAAGTTTTCTGGCTAGGAAAATAACCAAATACTTTAGCAGACATTAGCTCACTGGGAAGCTGTGTTTTACAAGAGCTCTGGAGACCCTTGGGAATAGGTGTGGGTGGTACCGGATACAGCTCCAGCATCTTAGGAACAGCAGCACCCCACTGCGTGACGAAGGCAGACTGGCTGGCGCAAGAGCTGCAGCATGGTCTCTCCGTGCAAACACTGTGCCTGTAGGCACCTGCAGCTAGGGCAGGGCAGTCTCTGACTTCAGCCAGTCTTGGTGCTTTATAAAGGCATCTCATGACAGAAACACTTCAAACTCTCAGAAATATCGTCCTTTGAGGGCTGGAGCTTGCTGAACTCAGACTGCAGGCAAAGGGCTCGGGGTTTAGTTGGAACAGAGTGAACACTTCTAATCAAGGCTGTTCCTTCTCTTCTCCTTTTGAAGGATGAGCATGGCTTTATTGCCAGGGAGTTCAACCGGAAATACAGGATTCCAGCTGACGTGGATCCCCTGACCATAACCTCGTCGCTCTCTTTGGATGGTGTCCTGACAGTGAGCGCACCGAGGAAACTGAGTGACCTACCGGAGCGCACGATCCCTATCACCCATGAGGAGAAACCTGCCATTGCAGGAGCCCAAAGGAAGTAGGCTGCTATTTAAAAGCCAGCCTTGGGCTTTTCAAGAACACTTCCCATCAGATGCCAGCTGTAGTGAATGGCCACTCTTATTTATTTATGCTGAGTAAATTTACTAACAAATAAAACATGAATAAGCACTTTGTATTTTTGGTTTCTGAAAGCTCAGCGCATGGGAAGTGTTGTCTTAAGAAAGCTGCGTAAGCTTCCTGTGCAGCGAAACACACCTGGCGTCATTCTCGCTTACAGCCTGAGCGCTGGTGCGTCCAGGAGAGCTTGTTTTGGTGGTCAGAACCACTTTGCTGGTTTCATTTCATTACTCTAATGTTTTGCAAACATCTAATTGCATGAGCCCTTTCCCTCAGTTTTTCTGAAGGATTTCTGAGTGTGTTTCACAAACAATAGGAAAGTCTCTCCAGTGGACATGAGACTGGTAAGACAACTACATGACAGTTGAAACCCTTTCTAAATAGGGGTATTAGATAACAACTGAATGGGAGACAACCATATCTTAAATCTCTAGAATGACTCACGGTATGGGGAAGCGTCCAAGCGCTGCAACCAATTCAGACCGGTTGCAAACGACAATTGCATAGCTGCTGTAAACAGATACAACCAGAGCAGAGAAAAATGTCCTACTCTCATAGTGCAAATCACATCACTTTGAAACTATGCGGCCAGTGTCCTTCAAACAATAAATAGCATCTGAAGTCTAAAATATTCATCTGATTTGTGCTAACATTGTTCAGCACTGCGAAATGCTACAGAGTTTCTCTCAGGTGCCACCAGCTGCTTAGCATCTCTGGTTTCAAAGAGACACCAGCAGAAACGAAAATCTGCAGTATTGGAATTGAATTTCTATAATCCTTGTCCAAAAAGGACAGAATGCCACAAATATGTCCAGTAATGCCTACGGGGTCACACTCAGTTATGACCCAATCTATTTTCTCTGTTCCTTATACGTGCTAAGACAAAAGACCTTGTAGAAGGCATCAGTTTAAATTTCAAATGAACTGAAAGAGCCTTCTTCCACGGCCGTGAGTGAGAGAAATAAAACAAACATTCAGTGATGTGGAGTCATAGTCAAATGCCCCAAATCCCACTTAAATGCCAAGTTCCAGTGTTTCCTATTAGCTGGCTCTAGTAAGCTCTTCCAGCTCAGGAAGAGGGTCTTATTTGAACTTAACTGAGAAGGCGCAGCACGACCCAGGTGCCTTGTGGTCACCTCTGTACATGAAACAAGTGACAGAAAAACACTCAAGTGACAAAACGATACAGTTTAGGAAGCAGGAAGAGTATATTTCACACGGTGCTACGTTTGGTTTTAATGCCCGACAGGTTTTTCTGCTTGAAGGACATCCTTGCAGCGCTGCTGGCAGACAGGCCTCCCGTCATTCTGGAAGCACAGTCTGTATCTTCACTGTCGCTTTCCCCACACCCTCTCGTTCCTCCCCCGAGCCTCGGACACCAGCAAAGGAAATGTTCCCATGTGGAGGCCTGTAGTCGATCATGTAGCAAGATGGGGCAGTTGGTTTGAACGGAGGGGGTTCCAACTCAGGCTGGTGGCCTGGAAACCAATGAGGTTCTCGCGTAAATCCTAAAAGAAAAGAAAACAAAACAAAACAAAAAACTCTCGGGAAAGTGCGAAATAGTAAGATTATATCCAGAAAGTGAAACTGAGGGAAACTTTTTCTGCAGAGCAGTGTTTTCTTAGGCTCAAACTTAGGAGCAAGAAATGGGAATTCTGAGTGGCAGCTCCTTGGGGATAAAGGTGATGAGGTTAGGTAGACAAGAACACTTGAAACGCAAATGCCACTCCCTGACTTGAAATACCTGTTCCATGCTGGTGCAGGAACGCAACTCAACAGCGAGAAGGGAAAACTGAACTCTTTCATCTCTATGCACAACTGTCATTTAGAAGCTTCTTCTCAGCTACACTACAGATCAAACAGACTATGTTTTTGTGCACCTACTTCTTGTTCTTTGATGCTTTCCCTTGTTGTAATCTGAAGAGTAAGTTGTTTCAAAGCAGTGAGCGTACTGAAAAGGAAAGTTCATACTTAGCGTGGCTAAACATAAGTAAACATTAGCATAATACTAATGCTATCTGCATAGAAGCAAACTTTAGCATTTTATATCTTACAAGAAGACCAAAGCACCTGCAATTACGCTAGCTCTTGAAAGACAGGCTAAGGTAAGATAACAAAGCCTGGGTGACTCCTTTTGACTCACCGTAAAGGGCAAAACACTGAAGGGCACAGAGAAGACAGCTGGATTGGGGCCATCTTCAGAAGGAATAAAACAGAGAGATGACACAAAAAGCCATTTCTCAAGTCTGCGCTCCTGGGGTGGGACCACCGTAAGGCCCTAAGCCGAGGGCGAAGAAAAGGAGCAAAAGGACTGTTGCCTTTCCCTA